TCTGAGGTGGATCCTTCTCTTACCCCACCCTTTCTCACCTGGGTTCTAGATGCTATGAACATAGGGAGTCTGCCCACCACAGTCCCACAATTCCCTGTCCATCTGTACCCCACTTCCTGTCTCTACTGCCACCAATGACAGCCAAGCACAGAAAGGCAGATAAGGAGTCTTTGGGCTGATTTGTGGAAGGGCTCCGCTCACAGACCAGAAAGCACAATGCTTTGGCACATGATAAGGTACAGACAGAGATGGGCAGCTCACATGGCAAGCCACAGTCAAATCTTGATATCAGTGAAGACCTACCATAAGGGGCCAGACAGAGTTTCGGAGTTTCAGACTAGTCAGGTCAAGGAAATTCCTTGCTACAGAGGAGAAACCACAGGCAGAAGAGGAAGGACCTGAGACTCCTTACAAGATATTGACTCAAACCCCACAGGCAAATCAAAAGTGGTGAGGAAATGAATGAAGGAATGCATACAGGTGCTCTTTATTTTATATGGGTCTCTACTTCTGTTGAGTAGTGTAGGGTAACTGATTATTTTTAGAGTGTGTCTGTTTGCTTCAACTATCAGGTGTTCAGGATGAGGCAGATTGTAACACAGAAAGCCTGGGGCACTGGAAAGGGAGTGTTGAGTAACTGGAGAGGCCAAGGGAGCCAGTACTACTCCTGGGGGCTATGCAATTGAACTGAAGAGCTTCCAGTTCTCAGAAGTGATGAAAAAGATTCTTTCTCCCACAGGTGTTTGTAGAAACAGAGAAGAAAGTGTTGTGCCAGGGTACTGTTCTGACTTGAGAAAGTGTGAAAGCACATGGGTCTGGTGTGTGGGACCCAAGCAGAGCAACTTAGTGAGTGCCCAGCAGGAGGTGCTTGACTGAGGATCTGAGAACTCTAAGGGCGTGTCCACACATGCAGGCACGTGCACTTGCAACAGCTCAAATAGAAGTGGTGCAAATTTGAGCTGGGGCATTTTGCCTCGGCGCACATGCTCAGACATGCACTTCGTTGTGGGGCAAATTGTGCCACTTGGGGCAAAATAACCTTGCCTGGCTCCTCCCAGATCTGGAGCCAGGGGGAGCTAGAGCCTAGGGCCAGCACCTGTGCTGGCCCCAGCAGTATAAAAATCTGCCCTGGCCAGCAGCTCAGGGCTCCTTGCCCTCAGGAGTTTCTGAGGCCCAACCACTTAGTATCTGGGGACACTAGCCCCTTGTGTCAGTTAGACTGCTGAAGCAGCATCCCAAATTCCCTTTTTGAAATACCCCCAAATCCACATACTTCCACAATTAGAACGAGAGAGAGAGAAAAAGGGGGATTGATCAGATGGTCAATGTTTTATGGCTATATTTACAATATTAAAAAAAATTGGAAGCCTACCAGTGTCTCTAGCATCCTAATAAAATAAATCCTAAATATCTATATGTTTTCATGTTTGCTTTTGGTTTCCCTATCACATGGTGGGTATGTGATGGGGGAATGTGGGGATTGCAGGAGGGGATGGGAAGTGGGATGGGGGGATGTGGGTGGGTGTGGAGGGATGTGGGGGGATGTGAATCAGTGTATGAGTAGGTGTAGGGGGACTGTGGGTGTGGGGGCTGCTTAGGAGGGGTGGATGCCCTGCATGAACACTGTGTGCCCCCGGCCGCTGGTGGAGCACAGCGGCACTGGTGACGGCAGGAGTGTGGTGGCAGTAGTAAGTGGGGAGCTCCTGCTGATGCCACCGGCGCTGTTGGCAGCGGGGGGAGGGGTGGCGAGTGCCAACCGGGGGTCGGCGACCACCTGCAGACACTGTTGTCAGTGACAGCAGTGGCCAGCAGCAATTGATGACTGTTCACAGATGCTGTTGGTGGCAGGGGGGTGGCGGCAAGCGGCAACTGTCCTCAGGCACTGCCGATAGTGTCGGTGGCACCTTTTCTAAGGAGGTGCACTGCCACACTAAGGGGGTGCATGTGTACCCGTGTCTACTCCCTACAGGTTGCCAATGGTCCCCTGCCCCCTGCCCCAGCACATGGACTATCCTATCAAGGCTGGAGACAGCAGGAGACCAGCAGGAGGCTGAAGACAAACCCCTGGAAATGAGATGGAGACTTCCCCAGCTCTCTCCACCAGCCTCCTGCTCCTTCTCTTCTCCTGCCAGTGAGTGTGTGAAGGGGGGGTAGGGGGAGGAGGAGGGGGATGGGAGAGGGAGCAGGGAGCTGGGGGAACAAACAGGGGGTGGGGAGAATAAATGGGTGGTGGGGGGAATGAACAGGGAGTGGGGAGAATGAATGGGGAGCGGAGGGAAAGAACCAGGAGTGGGGAGAACAAACAGGGGGTAGGGGAAACAAATGGGGAGTTGGGGAAGGTCCCCTCTCCCCTCCTCCATCCCCCCAACCCCCTATTTACCTGGCAGAAGCTGGGTCCAGGTCCCTGCAGCTTGCACCACTGCCTGCCCTACACAGGCAAGCAGCGTGCTTCAGGACCGGGGAAAGGGCCAACCACAGAGGTGCTCTGGCAGGCTGCCAGAGTGTCTCTGTGGAGGACTGAACCTCCAGTTGTCTCAGGGCATGGTCTGGAACCATGTCGTGACCTGTTTTTTTCCCCCAGGGTATTGTTTGACCCCTGGATATCCAGGGGTCTAATGTTGTTGTGGGGAACATTTTTTTGTTCCTGCACGTGCCTCTTGCAGCATCTCAAAGGGGTTTGAGATGCTGTAAGAGGCATGTGTGGGCTTGTCTGGACGTGCCGTAAGTGTCCTCATTTTTATTACCTTTCCTAATTTTGGAGCCCACAAGCTGTGCAAAATACAAACATATTTGCCAGCATTCATGATCCAGTTATTCCCTAGCAATCCACATGCTTTTGTCCCAAATGGGTTCTCTACTGATACTCTAAATGGCACAAGTTGAATATAGGGGGGAATGGAACAAGAAGCCCAGGAAAGGGTAGAGGTGTATTCCTTCTCTAGAGCACCTTCTCGTGCTCTTTTCCTTAATTTCTGCAGGTAAATCTATATGGTAATTAATGTATCTGTTAGGTATTTACCTCTTTCTGTGTTGCTCTTTGGCAGACACAGGTGGACCCAGCCAAGGGTAACAAGGCAGAGTACTAGAGAAAGTGATGAGTAGAGTAGCATTTGCCCCTGGAAATATGGCCTCTGGGCTGGTAAGGAAGTAGAAGCATCCCTTTCCCCATGCACCCTTGTGATGTTTAAGGCTCAGGGTGGAGGAAGGGGATGGTTGGTTATGGTTAAGGCACTGGGTTTGGTCCTATGTTTTGCCACAGACTGGACATGTGCAAATGGCTTCATTCCTCTATGCCTCAGGTCTAAGCTGGGGATGGTAATTCTTACTTTCTCCCATCCTTTGTTCATTTATTCTTTGTGCGTTTGTGGGCAGGGACTGCTTTATACTAGGATCTCGGAGCCTCTAGGACATCTGGGAACAGCAATGGGAAATAGTGCGTTCTCCAGGATTCTCATCCACCAAAACCAATTTCAGCTTCTTAGAAAGTATGTGAAAAGTCTGTAAGGGTGACGCTGTGGCCTTGTCCTTCTTCCTTAATGCCATCCCCTAAGTTTCTCCATGTACAGTATCTGTCTCTTATTCTCTTAATCTTATTTCTAAAGCATGTTGTCATTAAGACTTTGGCTTTACGTTCTGAGCCTGAGGCCAGCTGTTTAAATTGCACAAGTTGTTCCAGCTGTAGTCCTTGTTCTATACTGACTCTACAATAGTGATCCTTAACTAGGGTGATGTGAAATCCTTTTAAGGGTGCTCCAAGGTACACTGCAATTTTAGCACTGTTACGTCTGCAAACACCTACATATGATTCACAAGATTAACCCAGGGATTTCAAATAGGTATCCATAGTGTCAAAACCGTTTTGCTTGTTGTGGTATTTCTGTGTTCTTTGCAAAAGAAGAATTGTCATGTTATCTTTTTCCAAAAATAAGTTAAAGCTAAGCTGGCATTTTCCAAGGGGTACCTTGAATATAACAAGGGATCCCTTGATTCTAAAAAGGTTGAAAACCACTGCCTTACTGTTTGATTGTGTATTTTAATTGTATTGCTTCCCTTCACTATGCCATCCTAAAACAATCTGCATTTTCTTCCTTGTACCCTAAGACACCCAGTAGTAGTAGGTGAACAAACTGAATGGCTTCCTGTTCATGATTAAATCTAGCTTCAATTCCTTCCTGTGATCCCAGATATCAGTGGAAAATACTGGACTTGTAACGCTTTATTAAACTGTGGTGAAGGTATTGGTGCCAGAGGGGTTTAAACATATATGGATTAGTGCTAGTTCATTGCAATTCATATACTTTTAATTGAACACCACTAACAAGCATAGTACTCTCTAATTTAAGTGACAGTTCTCTTTTCAGACCCAGCTGAATTTTTAAGTTATGAGCACAGAATGTAACTGTCATCTACTCCTGATCATAGTAAGAGTAAAGAATATGTATATGTAACAATGGCCTTGGTGTAATCAACAATTAAAACAGAAAGACATGAAAGTACTGCATTTGGCTACTGCACTTGCAAATATGCTCATCAGAAGAAATTCTTAGTGGATTTTCAGGGTGCAGATACAGAGTCAAAGGTACCACTGGGATGTGCAAGTGCATCTCTTATTAAGGTCAACAGATACCAATGTTTCTACTCGGAGGACTGAATTTGATCCTTAGTGTATATGGGTGCTGCTACAGGTGCCAACGAATCTTTTGATCTTTCAGGTGACTAATCTGCAAAAAGCAACAGGATTTACAGATTAGACCATGTGTGCATGAACTATGGGCCTTTGAGGAAAAATATCTTGTATACCCATTACAATTAAACTGATATTTCCTTCTTTGTTTAGATTTCCCTTCTCTTGTAATGCCAGGAATCAGGGGACAAACAGGCAACATTAATTTAGCATCCCCCTGGATTTTGCGAGGCTATTATTTTCCTGAAAACCTGAACAATAGTTACACGTTTGCTCCTATTCATTAACAGCTGGTTTTCAGACCATGTCACTTTACCTGCTGGAGAGGGAAGTTCATGTAGGTTGCTGCTGCATCTGTTATTATCATCGGTCTCCTCTGCTGTCATTTTCTGGCACTGCTGATTGAGGTCCTCGGTGCTCTGCATAGGTACCATTGCCATTCAACAGCTCTATCCTGCACTTTACGGTTGAAACACTTCACAGGGCAGTTCCCCTTCTCGTGCCGACAACCAGTGTACAGTTTAGTCTCCTCATGGCAGCACGTTACAGAAACATGCAGAAACTAAATGTAAGCCACAAAGTGATTTGTGAACAACTTTGTTTCTATTTCAGAAGGCTTTTCCCTTTTCAGTGACACAGGCTGTTGCTATTCCTGGTAGCCTATCACAGACAAGTGGGAGGTCCATCTTTCGGAAGTATTGTTTTTGCCTTTAAACAAATAGTTGAAGACATTAGGCATTCTCATAGAGCTCAAAGCACATTCTTTAGCCATTAGCTTAAAGGGTCTCTCTCACTTTCACGTACCTTTTTTTTTTCTTTACACGGTATGAACACAAAGGGGGGGATTTAAAATATTTGCTGTGTCAGCTAAAGTTAGGGCATTGAAAACACACAGATGGTATCACTTAATTCTTTTAAATTATGAACGAGTTATAATGAGAAATACCAGGCACTAAAGCAGTATCATTCCTTCAGTTCTGAAGTGTAGTACCCAGTGGTGGTGGTAGCATATTTTTAATCATTTATATCAGGGGTTCCCAAACTGTGGTACATGTACCTCTGGGGGTATGCAAGACATCTCTGGAGGGTACATGGGAAAAATTGGGTAATGACATATTTCATTTTCATAATAATAATTGGCATTTAAAGGGTTAAAGTATAAGGCATCTGTTATTAGGGGTACGCAGGTAACTGGTAAATCTGTAAGGGGGTATGCAATAAGAAAAAGTTTGGGAACCTTGATTTATATGATATCAGATGCTGAGTTATGGATGAATAAAAAGACAACCTCCTGCCAAGGAGTAGGTGCTCAATCCTGAGACCTGCTAAGGAGTCAACATTTCCATTAGCTACAATGAAAACAAGGGATGACACTGAACAAAAGGTGAGAGAGAGGGGAAAATAAAAGGTAACAACAGTGAACAATGAATTACATGTGTAAAACTAGATTTTCTCTTATTCATACTAGTAAGCATCTGCTTCCTAGTAGGCCCATTGACTCAACTAACACTATTCATATAAATTTTCCCCAGTGTGAAGAAGCATTACACAGCCTAGCTATTAATGTTGGGCAGACTTGCTGTTGGATTGATTAGTTTCTTTTTCTTGTTATGATTTTTTTAAACTTTTGTTTATTTTATTAACATTTAGAAACAAGGGGAGAGGGAAGGTGACAGTGGGATCAGAGGTGGAAAGCTGGTAACATATTCAGGAAGGAATCATCCCAAATATTTTTTTCTATAATTACAACACGGACAAAACACCTTTATCACTCAGCCTTTGCTTCACAAGACAATTCAACAAAAGAGAAATGAAATGCCTTTTCTAACATGTGTCACCATTAGGTCCAGAAGGTTGGACATTTGGACTCCACTCAGTTAAGATTTCTGCTGGCCAATTTTTTTTTCCAGCAGTCCATTTGGGATTGTGTTACATGCATGAGACTAATCCTTCCTTCACTTGTTATTTTGTTTTCAGTTCAAGCAAGAGCATATCAAAGAATCAAATGTTTTTGGAGGCCGTCAGAGCTACGCCAAAAAAACCCCTCACTACTTCTGGAGAAGTATTACATTCACATGTGGGACATAAAGATGCAGTGGTTTTCATTGTGAATATTTGGCAATAATTTCATGCTCTTGCTATGGGAGGAAAAACACTGTAATTTTGTTTTGAAAACTTTTTTCAAGGACTAAATTTATCCATAACAAGATTCCCATGTGACAATCTGATCTATAGCCAGCAATTTCTGAGGGCTGGCATGTTGTGTGACTCAGCTCTGTCCCTAAACAGGGCCTTCAGGCAAAACTCATAGTCTTTCAGCTAACCCCTTATTCAGAACTTCTTCAGCCTGAAACCCATAATTCCTTTGTCTTTAATGGTATTTTTGAAGCTAGAGGGCTTTGCCCCATGTGGCACTTTAAAGGGGAACTAGTCCATCCTCTGAGATTCTCATCTTTGGAAGAACTTGTGTGGCTTCCTTGCCCACTCTTAAGAGCTAGTTTTTGAGGAAGTCAGATTCCTTGATGGATTCAGTGCCACTGTAATTAATTTCCTCCAGCTCTGAGTTGATACTGAGTACCCAGAAGCATGCAAGATTTCACTCTAGAGCAGGGGAGCTCAACCCCAGGTCTTCAAGCCAGATCTGGCCCCTGGTGTTGAGTGGTCCAGTCTGCCGGCTCCCTATGGGTCTGAAAGTTTGGTAGTGAGGGAACAGTGGCATTTCTCCCTGCTACCAAATGTCTGGACCTGTGGGGAGCCCCCTGAGCCAGACAGCATGGTCCTGTTCACTGGATCCAGAATGCAGGGAGGCACAGGGCCCGATCCTAGAGTGTGACTGGCAGTGGGGCGCAGGGCCCAATCCTGGTGTGTGAGGCCAGGCAGAGGTGGTGCAAGGCTCCAGGGCCCAATCTCACTATGCAAGGCCTGATCTTGGTGAATGAGGCTAGGTCAGGGTGACACAGGGCCTCAGGGTCTGATCCTGGCACGCGGGGTCTGATCCCAGCATGTGGGACCAAATGTGGGCAGCATGGAGCCTGATCCCTAGACCCCAGGGCCCAATCTTAGCATGTGGGGCTGGGTGGGGGCAGTGCAGGGCCTCCGGACTCAATCCTGGTACACAGGGGTCAGCCAAGGCCGTGTGGGGTCCAATCCAGGTGTATGGGTCTGGGCAGAGGCAGTGTAGGTCCCAATCCTGGAGCATGGGGCATGATCCAGCCCACAGACCAACCAAGAGATTGAGTACCACTGGCCTAGACCAATGATTCTCAACCAGGGTGTCATGACACTCCAGGTTGCTAAGAGATCCTTTTAAGGGTGCCACACTATTCAGTGTGCAAATATCTACACATGATTCCCAAGGTGAATACAGAGATTTCAGGTAAGAATCCATACTATCAAAAACATCTGGCCTGTTGTGGTCTTTCTGAGTATTTTGCAACAGAAGTATTGCTCTATTATTTGTTGTAGTCAAAAAGCAAGTGAAAGCTAAGAGCTGGCATTTTCCAACATGTGCCTTGAGTCTGAAAAGATTGAGAACCATTGATCTAGTAACAGCTGGGGCCACAGAATGATTACTAGGTGGTCTTAGCAACTAACAAAGAATGGGGTGATTGTAAGAAAGGGGACCCACTGGAGATCCATGGGGACAGGTGACTAACTATGATGGACTTCCCCATTTCATTCTCTTGTGGGGCTGGAAATCATCCACACTTTTCAAAGCCTAAATTTTGGTTTCACAGAAGTGAGTGAAAGTGCGGGGCAGAAAATTTGACACATCTTCAGACAGTTGCAAATGCAAAAGTTTACCACTGATTTTGTTTTCATGTGTTACCATTATGTTTGATAGGAATCTGTTTTACGGAAAACAGAAAAAGCCCTCGGGGATATATCAAGATGATCTGAGAGCACAGAGAGAAAACTGAAAACATTCATTTGGTTTATCGCCACCCTCATCACAAATGTTAAGAATTTTTAGAGCCCTGTTTTTCCTTTCCAAAACTGCCATTCCAAAACTTAGTGAAGAAAACCCAAGTAGCCATCCTGTTCTTGTAGGATTGTACAATGTCCATCTTCTTCTTTGACCTGATTCTGATTCATTAGTTTGAACAGCTAGTTACACAGGTATTGTTTCCTTTTTTAAAAACAAAAATCAGGGAGAAATGCTATGATTGTAACTTTTCATTATTCCTAGGTTTTCTGTTTCTAAACATGTTACTTATAAGACTTGTTAAACAACATAAATTGTCTTTCTTTCCAGATACAACTCTTCATTTTGCATGCTAAATGAAAAAGTATTTGTCATAAAGAAGAGGTGACACCAACATGCAGAACCCACTCTCCCCATCTAAAATCATTCCATATGGATACCTACTATATGTCAACATGTCCTGGCAATTTCCCTTATGTGGCCAGGGTTAGTTAAGGAACAGAAGTTTGCTTCTCAGGAAGTTTCTGGAACTTTTATGTGGATTTTGAATTATAAGTGCCTAATTGATTAATTATTTTTCAACTGAAATTTTCCAAATTTTATTCTTGACAACGGGGGTAACAGTCAGTAGTCCTATATTCTGATCTTACAAATGTTTACATTAAATGCTTACCTTGGGAATCAGTGGACTTCTGCCCTTTAAGTTAGGTCCTTAATTGTATTTTTTATAGAATCAGGTCCTCATTTTTCCCCAGCTATGCCATTATCTTAGTCTGAAGCTGTACCATGGTGTAGCCTTTACCTATTTTATCCCTCTGTGATAGCCTTGTAAGAAAGATCTTATCTTTATGGGTGCTAGAGAAGTCAGTACACAAAGTTATGTAGGTGAACTGTTAAATAACACAAATGATAACACAGAATACTCAAGACTAAAGGGGAGAAAGACACGAATGGTCACTGGATTATTTCCCTTGCTAAAGCCTCAAAGGCCTTTTTTCTTAGAGGCTGTTCCATTATTTAGTCAAAAGTGAAAAGACAAGTTGTTAAAAGGTTTTCTTAAGACTTTACCTGGTCCTTGTGGTGTTGCAATTGTCCTTTGGGATCTTTGAAAAGTCTGTTAGTCTCTCTGAGTTTCAGTCTTCTATCTGTAAAATAAGGATACTAACACTGCTTTACCTCACTGGAATACAGTGAGGAGCAATACAAAAAATATTGCAATGTGCTTGGATACTAGATGATGCTGGCCGTATAGATTCTTAAGTTGCTCTTTCCATTAAGAAATTATCCTTATTTTTAACATAAGTGTGTACCTGTCCAACTTCAGATCATTCAATTTGTAATAGGTCCTTAGTCAATGTCGAATAAATCTTGCCAGCTCCTTTATATCATTTCCTGGGATCTTATCTGCCCTGTTCAGCTGTTTCTTTGAACTATGTAAGTTAAGTCCTCTTTATCTTTTTCTAGTTGTTGTATCTTCCACATCACTCATCTTTGTTGATTTACTTGTATACCCTTTGGGCCAGCCATTGAGGCTTTAATCTTTACTCTGGCAAAACTCTTATTGAATAAGATTCTGCCTGAATAAGGGCTGAATAAAAAAATAAGAAAGGCCTCACGGCTTGGTAGGCCATCTTCCTAATAGGGCATTTGTTAAAATATACTAATAACAACAGTCC